AACCAGGCTGAGCTGCCACAAGTGGTTTGAAGACCAAATCGTTGATGCTGGGCTCTGGAAAAAGGCAGTTGGAAATGCTGCACAAGGAGGAAGGGCCACGCTGGAGTACCAACTACAGCACCCAGAGGAAGCCGACAGCATCCATGTGGTCAGCATCGGTGGGGAGGGGCGTCTCTCTATCTAGGTCAACCTAGAGTGTGTTCGCCTCATGTTTGGAGTGGTTTGAGTGTAAGGTTGGTGGTCGAGAGTAAGTAATGTTGATGTCTGTTTGCAGAATGCTTCGGTAGTTTTTGTTTCAAAGTCTGTTTTGGGAGGTAGATCTCCTCCTGAGACTATTCTGGCTGTAGACTGTTCTCAGTATGGGTGTTTCGGGTCTGTAAGGTACTGCTATGCTATGGTTTCTTTCTATATGAAATGGAGCCGGGGGTGATCCCCTGTTTATCGAAAAAATTCATCCCCCGTCGCGACGACCACATGACGCCTGCAGCTACCTCGCGTCACCACCATCAGCAGCGCGAAGCGATGCCATGGCGCATCGAGGGCCCGCATATGACAATGTCTGAAAGGGTGAGGCTGTCGGGCTCGGGCGTGCAGGCCACCAACGACTCATGCATGCACAACACCGTGGCAAGGATATGTTTGGTACATCTAAGAGAAAAGTATGCTTTTGGTCCCTCAAGTTTTCCAAAAGTATAGACTTGGTCCCTCAAGATTTTTGGTATACATTTGGTCCTTCAAGTCTCAAAACTAGATAAGTTTGGTCCAAAACCAGATTTAAAGCACGTTACCCGGTTTTATCATGTTTGATTGGTTTTGACCACGTTGACCAGGTTTTACTGATGAACAGTACATTAAAAAAAATTAAATTTTGTGGCAACCAAGATGCTTGGGTGCGTTAGGTGCCTGAAAATTTGTGTGTTGTTTTGACATTTGAGGAGTTCGTGGTCAAAAACAATTTTTGACTCACAAAAATAAGCCAAAGTTTGTTCTTTTTTGCTAGGGCTCCTCGGATGTTATTTGACCACAAAAATTTACACGCACCGAGCGCACCCAAGCATGTTGGTTGTCACAAAATTTTAGTTTTTTTTAATTTTGTTTGCTACTTTTTTGAATTTACCGTTCATCGATCAAACCTGGTCAACCCAGTCAAACATGGTCAAACCCGGTCAACATGCTCAAAATATAGTTTTGGACCAAACTTATCCAGTTTTGACACTTGAAGGACCAAACGTATTCCAAAAAATCTTAAGGGACCAATTCTATACTTTTAGGGAACTTGACGGACCAAAAACATAATTTTCTCTACATCTAAAAAAGGAGGACGTGTATTTTTTTTAAAGGATTGGAATTATTGTAAAAGTTCACTGGATGTACAAAGCATCTCAAACATAAAAAAAAAACTTGCATCAAGATTCCGAGACTACCGATGTGTTTGGTAGCATTATCAACCTAGTATATATGTTATCTTGAGAAAGGCGTTTTGGAGGCCGATCTTCATGGAGGCCTTTATTTTTGAAAAATTCAAATTCAAATTTTTATGGTTCAAAAAATTCTGAAAAAAATATGCATATATGTAAGGATGTAACTCACACGTGTGTAAAAATTCATGATGAAATACCTTGAGTTGTGATCTGTACAAAAAAGACAAATTCATGATCTAGGAGGATGAATAGTATCATGTGTCAAATAGCCCGAGATTTGTCTTTTTTGCACAGCCCTCATTTCAATGTATTTTGAACTGAAAATTTAAACACATGTGTTTTATGCCTTCATGTATATCTGTAATTTTTTCAGAATTTGTTGAAATGTAAAAATATGAATTTCTATTCAAATTTGAATTTGGAGGCCTCACCGGAGCCCGAGCTCCAAAAGGGATTTCTGTGTTATCTCGCAAAAAAAAACCTAGTATATTTTATCTCGCAAAAAAACCTATTCAATCCGTTCGAAATTACTTGTCGCGGAAATGGATATATCTAAAAAATACGTCTAGATACATCCATTTCCGAGACAAGTAATTCCGAACGGAGGAAATAGTATATATGTTCTCCTAGACATATTGGGCATAGAAATGTTACGTACATGCAACTGTTGTACCCCTTGGCTCTCATGTACGAGGGCACCCTAATCGCTGGGGTTTCTCGTGTCTATCTCGTCTTCTATGGTCTTAGGGCCATGAAAGCATGGTGGATCCCGGCTCTTGCCGGCGGGAGGGCTTCGTTTTCATATGCTTTTTTGAGTTCTGTTAGGGTTTCTGTCCTGCTTAGAGAGGCGAGGCGGCGGCGGCTCTCTGAAGATGGAATAAGGTCCTCCCTGCCTAGCCTCCGTCCTGGTGGTGTTT